TCCCCCGAGCCTTGCCGACCTCCCCTCCCCCGAAAAAACCTCCCCTAGCCCCGCAAAACCCTAGCCCCGATCTCCCTTGACCCCGAAAACCGCCGCCCAGCCCTCCCACCACCCTCGAAACCCTAGCCGATCGGGGCTAGGGTTTTGCGGGGCTAGGGGAGGTTTTTTCGGGGGAGGGGAGGTCGTGGCTCACGCGGCTAGCGGCGACGAGGGGAGGGGAAGGGCGGCGAGGGGAGGGGGAGAGCCGGCGAGGGGCAGGGGATGGCCGACGAGGAGTTTGGTGGCTGAGAAAGATGAAATGTGTGGTGGTGTGGTGGTTGTGGTGTGGTGGTGGTGTAGGGGGATTGATTCCCTTTGTTTTAAAAACAAACAACAAAGCAAAAAAAGGGTATTTTCATTCCATTCTTCTACTTTGCTTCTATCTCTTCTCTTCTCCTGGTGTTATACTTCTCCTTCAGTGGCGAAGAATCTGCTAACCTATTGATTAGTGCAGGGTACTCAGACCATAGAAGGTAGTTCTAACTTAATGAAGTGAATTTTTCAATGAGTTTGATTACTTCCAACATTCCAAGTGCCGACAACAAATTACTCTAAAAAAAAAGCAGCTCAATGCCTCAAACTATGGATTCAAACTTGAGAGATCTAACAAGCAAGCAAGGACGCAAGGCTTCGTGTACTGAAACAGGAGCCATGGATGAACTCCATCAAAACTCATAAGAAAAACCAAAATACAATATTAACTTCAATATTGTACAAGCTGAGGATGTTTACATGTTTAAAGCACCATATCTATACAAATTACCTGTACTAAATTTGTGGTAGGGATGGGTTGGTGAGCTAAGATGTTTCTTGAGCTGCAAACAAGGACGAAATCATGCATTAGATATGAATTATTATTAAAATGAGAAAATATCTTACACTTAATCAAACAAGAAAAATGAACAAAGAATTATGTAGCTAAAACACAAAACTTGTGGAAGTTGATCGTTAATACAAAATCTATGTTGACCCAAAACTGATTGATTTAACAAAAAGAAATTCATATATTCCTAGATTCATCAAGTGAGAGAAAAAAAGCACCTAAGTAGCACAAACATCACAAATGAATTTGAGATATCTCAACTGGACAAGGTATTATACAAAGAGACAAAAATATACCGTAATACCTGGTTTATGCGCCAACCATCAGAAAGCAAGTTCTTTTGATGTTCTAAGGATAACACAGAAAGAGTGTTGTCAATAGGACGACAAAAACAAGAATACCTGAACATATAATCTTGTTGAGGACCTTACAAAATTAAAAGAAATCCAAGCCTTAACCAGCAAGGTGGCAGCTATCCAACGTACCTGAATCTACAGCTTTGATTTCCCTCATGGTAGCATCTGGAGACATGAGTGGCTTAATAAAAAACTGTGCAAACCTGAATAAAAAAGAATCTGGATTGAGACTTGCAAAAAACAAGAACAAATATAAAAAAGAAACAGAAAGGTAGTTGCATATGCAATTGAACTCATTAATGGGATAAGAAAAAGAAACCGCCATTAACCTATCTAGAGCTTCCTCAAAAGAGTCTGCATTGACGTCAAAGAAATAATTGGTATACTCCGATGCAGTGAAAGCATTTGTGGAGCCACCATGCTGTGCATCAAACAAAAATTAATATATTTATATTAGCAATAGAACACACTTTCATCTTATCTACTAACAATAATTATAAGCTAGCTTGTACTGTAACAACTAACAAGCAATCAAGCATAATATGACCTGTCATCAGAAGTCAGGTCTGTTCAAAAAGGATAAGTTCTAAGCCTTATACTAATTGCAAGATTAACTTTCAATTTTATAACAATGATGCACCAACACATATTAGGTACAACCATACAACCAGCAGTTAGGATATAATCACCAGCATTTCCACGTAGTTGTTTTACCATTTTAGTGCGTGCAATTTAGGCCAATTAAAAAAAAAGGTCATCCCTATAGGCCTATAGCACAATGTCTGGCAGAACCAAGGGAAGAAGATCCCTTACACCAGAGGGGCAGATGGACCATGGTCAAACAAGTGTCATTGAAAAGATAAAAGCTTCATTGACTAAATTTGTCTTCAGACCAGCTCGTAGACCTACTTTGAGGAAAAAGACATGGTGGTTATTCCTAGGACAGCCATGCCAGTATGTCACTATAGACATTGATCAAAAGAAGGAAAAGGTCAAAGGTGACAGATGCTTCATTCCTTCGCCTTCACAAACAAAAAAAAAACAACTTGAATCACTTGCTCTACATGATGGTTTGGTTACTTACAAGGCAACACTATAATCAATGTCAACACAGGACAAGGTTTAAAACTAAAACAATGGCAGAGGGAGGGGCCCTTACAATGCTCCCCATATATGATAATATTATGAAATCATAAAAGTAGTAGTAGTATATTATAAGCATCATAGTAAGGTAATGCCCTATATATGGCTCAAAATTAAGAAACATTTAAACTAGTTTCTTAACTTGATAACTTCCGATTTCAGATTCTAGATCTTTCCGAATAACATTTAAAAGGCCAAGGTAATTTTCTTAATTAAAAGCTGAGTACCTCTGTTATGTACTTGGAATAACTATCTTCGATAGGGTACTTTTCACTGGCATAAAACAACATGTGCTCTGCAAAAAACAGCATTGAAATGGAAAAGGTTATTTTACAACCAAAAATATCGGTTTGCTCCTAACAGACTAACCATGCAAAATCAAAACAAACAACCAAACTCAATAAAACCAAAATATTCCATGACGTTCGTTGTCATGGAATAACATAAGCATACGTAAAATAAGAATAAGAACGATTTCTCTTCCATTATCAAGCATCATAGTTGACCAATCCAACTATAAGCAGTGGTCTCAGCTTGCCAATTGTCAATCGTCACAATTCACAAACAACTAAACACCCTACTGATTTTGCAACCCTTTTTTTTAATCGATTAACATCCATCCTTATTCAAGAAACTCGATTAACATCCATCCTTATCCATCCTTTTTTTTTAATCGTTTAACAGACGATCTTAATAACATTCAGAAAATCATATTCACTTCACTCCAATGTCATACTGACTATTGACTAAAGTCTACTAACTTACTATCCCCTACTTCAAAGACCTAGAATACTAAACAGACGATCTTGATAACATACAGCAATCATACTCGCTTCGCCCCGTTTTTGTCCGCTACAAAAACGGAGCAAAAGCGATTCCAACTCCGATTTTTTTATAATCGCAACACATCTCCTCGACACACAATTTGATCAAGAAATCAAAGAAATTGGACAACAAATTCAACTTCAATCATTAAACACAACATCAATCATCCAATTCCGCAAGGAACACAGCAAAATGAAAGCAAAGAGGAGAGAGAAAATACCGAGAAAATGAGCAAGTCCTTCAAGACCTTCAGGATCACAGAATGAGCCAACATTAACATTCATCGAAGCAGCACACTGTCAAAAAACACAATCAAAACATCAAATCATCAACAAAACAAATCAAAATCAAATTCAAAATCAAAATCAATCAATTGAAATTCAATTCAAGAAATTGAAAAAGACCTTATCAGTATCAGGATCGCTAATGAGAAGAATTTCAAGAGAATTAGGGAGAACAATTCTTTTGTAATCTCTTTTATCAGTTCGAGGCTTCAGTATCTCCGCCATTTCTTCATGAACCGCCATTTATGATTTCTTCGGAGAGGATAGAGAAATGAAGAAGAAGGAGACTTAGTTTTTTTTTTTTTTTTTTGTGATTTTTTTGCTTCGTATTTTATAAATGGTTTGAGTTTTTGCCGTGAAGTTGGGGGGTGTGACTTTTGTCTCGGCGCCTAGGCGTGGCTCATGGGGTTTGAAAAAGTCGAATATCCAAATTTTAAGTCTAGTAAACGCTTTAGTGAAGTGTGACACGATAATGAAAATTTTGAAGTGGAGCATATACAAAGAAGATCTCATACATACAAAGTCATTTTTTACTATTATGAGCTGATTGTGTATGGTCGAGGTGTGTCATTAGGTAATCTAAAGTATATTAGGTGTTTGAAAATTTTGGATTTAAGTCGGATATATAAATTAGGTTTTAGTTGGGAGAAAATTCTTAGATTTCAAAGAGACAAAAGTCGATGTTGTAATAGAATTTAAAATCATATTTATTGATTGTGATTCAAAGTTTCAAATAGATTGGTGTAAAGAGACTGAAAGAGATTAGAGATTAATTTTTCATTAGCAATGTATCGGTTATATACAAAATACAAGAGTTTTATAATTAAGGGAATAAACTAGGAAAGGATATTATTATACACCAAATATTCACCTAACTAACTTGGGGCATGTTCACATTTACTTAATTTTAGTTCAGTTCAGTTCACCTCAACTCCAATCAGTCCAGTTCATTTCAAATCAGCTCCTAATTTCCCTCTCTTATAAAATATTCGTTTCTGCTCAGTTCAGTTCAGTTCAGTTCAGCTCCAATCAGTTCAGTTCAGTTTAACTCCAATCAGTTCAGTTCAGCTCATTTTCAGTAAATGTGAATGAGCTCTTAGTGATATATACAAAATAAGAATATTATATGATAAATATATTATAACAGAGACTAATTAAAAGACATTTTGCTCGTTGAGTTGTTATTACTTAAGAGCTTGATCATTTTACTCCACGGGTAGATTGTGGCCTATCACATATGAATGGTTGTATATTATGGTCCCTATAAGTCTATAAGGTTATAACCCCACTCTGGTCAACCCGGCCTAGCTTGTTAACGTACAAGCTAGACAATTTTTGAGTGGGGTGAAGAGTAAGGTAAAATAAAAAATAAAAAAATCTACTCCCCCAAAGTGCCCTACGTTTAAACCACCAACCTTAATTCACACAAATTTATACAACGTGATAGAGTATAAAACATATTCCTAGGCCTCAACCATCAGCTAGGAATATGTTTTATACTCTATCACAACGTTATTCTTTGTAAGACAGTTTTATCAATTAAAATATATATTTTTTTCCGACCACAATTAAATTTATTGGTATACTTCATACAAGTCATTATCAATAATAAACCTCATCAAATAAAATTCAACAACATGATACTAATTTAATCAACTTACACTAGTACATATCGTGTACAACCTTAACATCATCTAATACAGGACCACACATATAGCCATAATCAAGTCTAGTGTGATAATATGCACTCCAAAATGTAATTCTTGTTCTATCAGAAATTGCTTGAAACTTGAGACTAGCAGTTGTAAATCCACCTTTAGCTTCAGAATTGAAATGTACTTTAACATTTTCTTTACCAGCAAATGCTTCAACTTCCATTGAACCAGGACAATTATTTTTGGCGTCACCAACCTTGAAAGTAAGGAGGTATGATACATTAGGTTTGGTATATATAATTTGAGCAATGGCACTTTCTCGTCCTCCTACGAGCTCAATAGCAGATGATCCTGAGGGTACGTAGAAATGTTTCGAGTCGATGAACTTTACAGGCCTCGCTGATTCAATGATCCAACCAGGGAGTGAGGAGACGGAGTCATGGGGGTGTGAAGGGATGAGGACTCCTGTTGAGAATTTCTCAAATACATATGGACCAGTTTCGAACCCTCCGTTTTTAACTAGGTTACCTGCAAAAGATCAAGGTGAACATTGTAATGAGTCAATAATCCTCAAATTAATGTAACAACACAAGGGTTTTTAACCCATTTAACATGTGACAATCCACTGCTTAGTTGACCTGTAGAGTAATGATGTAAACGAGATTTGATTTCAAATTTTGGATATCCTATTCTCATGATTTTAACCAATTAAGTTAGTTGTCATGACCAGTATGGCAGTATCATGATAATATAAATAATTAGTTAAACCGTCAAATAACATGCAGCATAGGGAAAAACGTATGTGTAGATGACCCATAATGTAGATGTCATAAACTTATAAGAAATAAACATTTAGAATTTTACCTCCTATGTAGTGTGGTAACAATATCTCTTTAATTGCAATAGCATCCAAGAGTGGGCCACAAGCTGGATCCTCTTCAATTCCAGGGTTTTTCAAAGTGATCTTAACATTCTCAGAAGTAGCCTTAAAAGCCCAAGCATAAGTATCTCCTCCATCACCACTAAACAATGTTTGAATAGGGAGATCTACTGTGGTTCCTGAGGCTGCAACCCTAATAGACTCTTCTTGTGCACATGTTCTTGTTGTGCTAAAAGTGATTGAGTAGTATGAATTTTTCTGTAGTACTACATCTTGGGAGATAGAGGCCTCATTCCCTAACCTAATCGCGTGTACACCACGTGGCACGTTGAAGTAGAAGCCACCCGGTTGAGGTCCACCTGATATGTACTCTACTAGGCCATTGATTTCCCATTTAGGAAGAGAATGTTTACCAATTATTACTGTATTCTTCATGTTTGATGGCTTTGGTGCCTCTTCAAAGTTCCCATTTGGGAGAAATCCTACAAATAGAGATTGATTTCACCATATAAGTAAAACTCATTGTGTACAAAACTTATAAGCCTAGCAACTTACTCCTTTATTGATAATGGAGATGCCAAATCAATGAATGCAATATGAGACTTTAAATGTTATTGGTACGTGTCACATTTCACACGTCGCTTATCATTACAAAGGAGGTGGAATGTGATTATGTGAGAACTTTTTTTGGTCCGGCCCTAAGTTTTAGGAATAAGATGTAGATTTATGTTTAAACTTTTCTTAGGGTTCAACCCAATAAAACTTAGACCCTCATAATAAGAGACGAGAGTCCATCAAATAGGCACAATCCTTAGATGTGAGGTGGGCTAGTCTTCATGCATGACCCACCTTTTTTCCCGTTAACTACCTCCCAACCATGTCAATTGAAGTCATTTTCGATATAAACACAAGAATATGATGATTTTTTTTTTTTTTTTTTGTACTCATATTTAATCTAGAAGAGGTATGAATAAATATAAAATAAGATGGTAAATAAACGTAAAGTTAGAGCATAGATAAGTAAAACTCACCATCAGGAGTAGTTGCATAGACGATTGAAGAAGCAATATAATCACTGCTGCTTATCATTAGCACAAGAAAGACAAAGCAAAGGGGAGACAAACCCATTTTGATCTTAGGAATACTCGATTGTAGAGAAAAGAAGAGAAAATGGCGCTTCCGAGAACGTGAAAGTGCAATGAAAACTGAGAAGTTAGACTCATTATATATACATATACATTATACATTGACTCTGAAATTAATTATAATTTATGTTAATTAACATATAAATTAAACTATTCTCGGTCCTTTCTTAGCACTCTCTCTTTTCCATTTTAATTATTATGAGCCACAGAAATTAGTGATGTAGACAGGATTTAATTTTGAGTTTTGTTTACTACTGGCTGTTCACTTCAGCTTAATTTTAATTTAGTTCAATTTATTTCAGTTCAGCTCCAATCAGTTTAGTTTAGTTCAGCTCTTAATTTCCTTTTATCATAAAATATTAATTTCAGCTCAGTTCAATTCAGCTCCATCTTTTCTAGCTAAATTTTGACTAATTAAAATTAAGTTTAGTGGCATGTTAAATCCACGCATATCATTTTGTTGTTGATTGAAAACTCGACACTAGTTTTAACATCTCAGATTGGAAAATTTAAAATGGAACAAAAGGAGTATTATTTTATAAAACTTCGGATAGATACAAGATTACTAGAGGTCTAGACTCTAGAGTAACATATAGCCAGTTTGTGGCTAAAAACTAAAAGGTTCATATCACATAGAATATGGAGTGAGTTTTTGAGAGAAAGAGCATAAGTAAAGGGTAAACATCGGCAAGACATTTTTTTTTTTTTTTCGAATAAGTCACAAGAGCGAACAAATTACAAATGAGGGTGGAGGATTTGAACTTAATTATGAGCTATCAACCTATAATATACCGTAGATTCTCAATGTTAACTAGTAGGTCAAAACTTTTATTGAAAAAATACGAATATTTGTGAATAAAGGGAATTATGTGATAACGTACAAAAATTAGGATGGAGAGATACGAAATTCCGAGTACATAATCACAAAATCATAATCAACACAATGAGATCGAGGCTGGCACAGCAATGAACGTGAAGAGAAATAATGAGAAGACAGAAGACTAGTGGAAGGATCGGAATGGAATCATGTAGTGCGTGAGTCCACCAAATAAGCCGTGAGATATGTTACATTGTCTCTTCTTAATCACTAATTACTGCTCACAATGTCCTATATACTAAGAATTGCTTCTTATTTAAGGTATCCTTCCTTCTTGCTCGGTTTTTGTCGTACTACACGTCTACACTACAAAAAATACTCTACTTCTGTTGGGAGTTTATATTATATATTAGTATTAATATATACTTTGATCACATGAACTTAAGACCTCAACTTTAATTGCTATAGATATTATTTTGTTGTAAAACTATGTATTATATGGCTAGTTAATACGTTATTATTATGGAGTGTAGTATAGACTAGCTGGTTCACCTTAGAATGTTGCTAAATATTTGGTCATATTTTTCCTAGAAAGTGGGGCTTTAAGAGAATTCCGTTGAGATTCCAAAGCTATTTAACAAGTTATCTTTTCCTTTTGGTCAAATACTATACATATCTAGCATAAACTAACAACCATAGAATGTGAGGACTAAGGATCACGCATCTCCCCCAGGACTCTAGGAGTGACCTGGATTCGATCCTCACCCCACCCCTCTTGTGATAGGAGGAGCACCCCTGTATCTTACCGTGTTTTAAAAAATAAAAACTATTTTCATGAGATGTTAAAAAAATGTCAAAACGTATACTAGCTACGCATGGTGTTCTAAAATGCCCTTTAAACATCCAAAAAAAACTCGTCATCATCTCTCAAGGGAGATGAAATGGTCTGATTTAAATTAGCTAATTTAAGGAAAAGCTGGAAATGATTACACGGCTACACCCTTGTTTAATTAATTAATAAATGGATCATTTTCTGAGCTACAAATCAGAGTATTAAATTCAGGTTAACTAAATTTGTTAGGCAAATTGGATAATAGAAGCTAATAAAGTATAAGGTAAGTCTATGACTTACACTTTGTAAAACATGTCCTACACATAAGCTAGCTGTATTTTGAAATAAATAAGAAGGAATAAATTTCAGTCAAAATATTCCAAGATCCTTGTGCAAAAGATCATTTCACAATACTATATCTTAGATAAATTCATTTCATAATACATGCTTTGTTAAAACCATAATGTCTTAAATTTCCTTGTATAAAAATCGCGGAATACAAAATAATCTAGCTTTAATCCCTATAACATATTATTATTCCATTCGTAATAATCACTTACAAAATAATCTTTAATCATACGTAATATTCCTTTCGTCCCTTGCAATTAGTGAAGGGGCACAACCCTAACATCGTCCAAGACAGGACCACACACGTGACTAAAATCAACTGTGTTGTGATAATAAGAACTCCAAAAGGTTAACCTAGTTCTATCTGAGATAGCCTTAAATTTGAGACTAGCAGAAGTGAAACCACCCTTTCCCTTGGATTCATAGGTGACTTTAACAGTATCTTTGGCCGCGAATGCTTCCACTAACATAGGTCCATTGCATCCATTTTTGGCATCTCCAACCTTGAAGGTGAGGAGGTAGAATTGATCTTGTACCGTTCTAATGATTTGAGCTATCGCGCTCTCTCTTCCTCCTACTAATTCGACAGCAAAGGATTTTGAGGGCACAGAGAAGTGTGTTGAATCAATGTACTTGACTGGTTTTAGTGATTCAATAATCCAACCAGGAAGTGGAGTTATATAATCATGGGCATGTGGAAGGAGGAGGACTCCTGTTGAGAAGTTTTTGAATACATGTGGACCTATTTCAAAGTCTCCATTTTTCACCATGTTTCCTGAAAGAAATAAAAAAAATACAAAAGAAATTGTTAAAAATATCTCTAAAGGTTATGTACTTATGAAAATATAACAAACCAAATTTAGAAATAGCACAAATAACTAATGCAGAGTAATTGTTTAATTTTGTCATACAAGTTCCCACTTTGTAACACCAACCACATTGAAAGTTGACGAGAACGAAGTTTAATCTTTGCATTAGATGCTTTTTTGGGGATGCCCCAGTTTCTCATAGTGAGAAACAAAACTCATATGACATTTTCGTAAATAAACCAACAACTTTCCTACTTTATTCAATTGTGGAGCCCCATAATAATGAAAAAGTTGTTGATTTATTCACAAAAATGCCCGTAAGGAAATTTCCTCTTTTTGGGTAGGGTTTTTGTCCTACACTTAGCATGCGTACACAATATCAGAAGTTTGTACCCCTCTCCTTAGTTATTATTTTCAACTTCATGTAAGAATTGTAACTGACTCAAAGTCTCAAACCAAACCAATTGCATAAATCTCAATTATATAAAAATGTTCAAAATGATCTTACCTGTGGGTTTAGGAAGTGGTGCCATCTCTTTGATTGCAATGGCATCCATAAGCGGTCCACATTCAGGGTCTTCTTCCTTACCCGGGTTATGAAACGCAACCTAACAATTTGAGAAGTGGCCTCGAAAGCCCAAGCATAACTATCTCCTCCATTGCTACTATACAACGTTTGGATGGGTAAATCCGCGGAGTCATTAGAAGCCGAAACCCCTAAGACCTCATCTAGGGCACAAGTTCTTGTTGCACTAAAAGTAAGGGAGTAGTATGAACCTTTCTTAACTCTTACATATTGATGTATAGAGGCTTCATTCCCTAGCCTTATAGCGTGGACACCTCGTGGAACCGCGAAAAAGAAGCCACCCGGTTGAGGTCCACCTGATATGTACTCTACCAAGCCCTTCTTCACCCATTTTGGGAGGGAGTATTTTCCTTTGATTACTGTGCCCTTTAAGTCTGATGGCTTTGGTCCTTGTTCAAAGTTTCCATTTGGAAGAAGTCCTGTTTGTAACATAAAATAAAAACATGTTAATTAAACATTTGCTTGTTGATCTCACTAGTAAATATCAGAGACTCATAACTCATTTCAAAATTAAAAGCGAGCCAATGTAGGGTTAATTAACCGGCCCAATCGGACTCGAGTTCTTCTTGTAGTTTTCGTATACTCCGTATGATGAACATAAAATTGTCTCAAAGTTAACTAAGCCAAAAAACAAGATCATGCTTGTATTGTAACTCTTACTACTTCATATTTGTAGATTGACGTTTTAAATATATACTCCGTATATGACAAATTGAAAATATCACGTGTAAATTGATGTAACTAATGCTTAAATCAACGTAATATATCTACATTTATCTCTACATATTTAGCCTTATACTTCATTTTTCATCTTTAACAGTTTGAAAAACTTTAGAAATTGATGTGTACATTAAAATTTACAGTAAATAATTAGACCTTTTATAATACAATTGCGCAAATATATCAATAAATACATCTTCGGAGTATGAACTCTTGCATATTTTTCTATATCTATAATACGTTAGTCCTCAAAGTTTTGCTAGTAACACATTATTCTAAATGAGAGCATAAAAAACATTGATTAATAACATACTAAACAATGATCAAGTGGTTATTAAAATATTATCCATAAATACACTAATAAAAGAAACACACAAAACCATTTATATACAATCTACAATAAATTATGATAAAGTCTTAGGCATAGATGCATGGTACCGAATACATCAAATTAAAACTCGTCTACATCATTATACATTCACTATTGTTATACGCAACATTGTCAATTATTACTCACCATCAAGCACAGTAGCATTGACTGAAGAAGCAAAATAATCACTGCAACTTATCAAGACGAATATGAAAACAAGACAAAGCGAAGATGAAGCCATTTTGAGAGAGAAAAAGAGAGGAAAAGAGAACGACCGAGGTCTCGAAAATGTGCACTTAATCTAAACAATGAGATTAACAATATATACTACTCGAGAGATGCTGTAGCATTATTGAATGTTATCATGAAAAGAATAAGGATTTGAGTGAAAATGAATTGGAAATTGAAATAATCTCGTGGTTTAGTCCACTATATAAGCCGTGAGTTATGTTGGATTGCCTCTAATATCCTTCCTCTTTCTTTCTAAATTGGTGTTTGTGTTAATAAGCTTCGTTTTACATACTTATCTGGGGGAGCTCGTAACTCTCTTGTCAACTATCACCTTCAACTTCAAGCTAAACGTATCGTTCTGTTTAGAATTTTTTTTTTCTTTTTTATTTGATTTGTGTTGTATAAAGAGCAACGGTGGCCTAGACTAGGGGTGGTTCTAAGCATGTGTTAGGTGGTCGGTCGCACAGGGCCTCTAAGTGAAACTAATATAAAAGGGCCCCGATTTTTTATTTAGTAACATAATTATCCTACAAAAATGATTTTAGGGTCCAATTTAATAAAGTTACACCGGGCCACTTTCAGTGTATGTTAGCATTATAGCCCCGCCTCTGGCCTAGACAATACAACAAATCGATTCTTGAGTGCAAATGTAAGTATTATTTGTTCCATATATTGAAAAAGAAAGTAAGCTTTGAGATTATAATCCAAGCGTGTTACACCTGTTACTCCTTTGAATATCAATTGGTTTTAGGATGAATTCTCACTTTGGGCTCTAATATTTGTCATGAATAATGACTTCGAATATACTAATACATAAGTAGTATATGTTCAGAGTATAACCATTCAAATATGCTAAGAATTTTTTTCCTTCATTCTTTATTTATTGTATACCAGTTAAGTAATATAAATAAATAATCCAACAGGTAATTAACAAATACTTCAAATAAAGAACGAACTCGAGATTGATTATTAGAGAGCCACCTTGGCTCAAAATTCCAAATAGCAGTTACCCAAGATTCCAATCTTCATATTAAAATTAAAGCTCCATAGAGCACTTTAGTGCCATAAAAATCCAAACTAATTTAGTTAATTAACATATATTAAAGGAACGTAACGAGAAGCTCGAAAACTAATAATAAGTTATTGTACCGTAGTTGCATTGGTATATAATTTAGGGTAATGATATATGTAGGCATGTAGCCATTAGAACTTCAAATAATAAGCATATAATACTTTTCCTGAATATAGTAATTTTGACCAGGTATAATACAAATTTCTTAAAAGTGTGTAAACACCATCAAGTATAATGTTGTTGAGCTATTTTCATTTTACTCCGTATATTTTAACTATATTACTATTTTACATTTAGAATTCATAGATATTTAAAGATATATACTAGGATGGTTTATGCGCACACTATAGTTAGTCTATCAGCGAGCTCTTTCAATTTGACCTTATGTTACAAATTAGTTGTAAGCTTGTAACCAGCACTAATAAGGGAAAATATGTTTTATTTAAAAAAATAAAATTATTATAGGGGTATAAATGTCAAACATTATTCTTAAGAGTTTTAAACAAGAGGCAGATAACATTAATAAGGGCAACTAAGTAAATATTAAGAGTATAATTATACAATCCTCAAAAAAAAGAGTATAATTATACAAACACTATAATTAAAAGGCTAAAAGCTATCTCAAACTTTTGAAAAGGTAGAGATTCATGGGGAAAGTTGTACATTGAGAGATAATAGAAGGCCAAACTCGGAGTAGCTTATATCATGGAGACATCTTGGCTTAAATATCTTTGCAACACTTCCACTAACTATCCATATTTAAACACCCAAAAAAACTAACTATCCATATATACAAGCCATTATTTTCAATTATAAGTACGTGGTTATGTAGAAAAATATTATGCCCCCGGCCTTTTCTCCTATTGAGTCAGGGAAATTTCTCTTTCATAAGTGAACTTGTTCTTTGTGTTTAATTTGATAATTTTGTCCCCCTTCATTGTTCCCAGATCATATAGTAGATCATATGGATTCCTATAGAAAGAGATATGACACTTCCTCGAAGGCTCCCTAGCTAGCAATGCCTCAAGATAATTCGATTAACTTCGATATTCCATGATTGAAAAATAATTGTGAGTTACCTCTTAAAATAGGGCTTGTTTAGTGTACCTTATTTTTGTTTATTTGATCTGATCTAATCCTTCTTTTTTTTTTTTTTTCTTTTTCCTAACTTGATATGAAATGAAATAAGTAAAAATAAGGTGAACTAAATATGGCCTTAGTATTCCAGACAACTAGTCCAATTAGAGCCTACCATCCTGAAAGGCATTACAAGCAAATTAAGTCAGTTAAAAGGAAATAATCAAAGAAGGAAGTCAAGGACGCAAACACATTTTATTAACTAATGTGCAATTGAGGATCGATAAAGTTACTATAAAGAAATCAATAACCTCAATATATAATGTACGATTGTACACATATAAAGGTAAGTAATAATTCTAAATTATTACACATATATTTCATGATATTGTGAATAAATTTGATGAAAATCATTTTAATTACTTGGTAATTTACTATGGCAATAATCAATAAAGAGGTACCACCTTAACATCATCCAAGACAGGACCACACATTGATCCAAAATCATTAGCTTTAGTGTGATACATTGAGCTCCAAAATGTTAACCTAGTTCTAAATGACATAGCCTGAAACTTGAGACTTGCATGTGTAAAACTACCCTTTCCATGGGACTCATGGTGAGCTACAACATTCTCCATTGCCGCGAATGCTTCCACCATCATTGGTCCGGTGCAACCATTCTCCGCGTCTCCAATGGTGAAGGTTAGGAGGTAATGCTTGTTAGGAGTTGTTCTTATGATTTGAGCTATCGCGCTTTCTCTTCCTCCTATCAACTCAATGGCTGCAGACCCTGAAGGTACAAAGAAGTGTGCTGAATCGACGTATTTGACAGGTTTAAGGGATTCGACAATCCAGCCAGGGAGTGGTGAAACTACGTCCATTGAATGTGGAGATATAAGTACACCGGTTGAGAAATTGTTGAATACATGAGGTCCAATTTCAAAGTCTCCGTTTTTAACAATGTTTCCTGCATGCAAAGAGTAATTTCCATAAGTTTCATTTTGGAAAAAAATCTACTCCTTTCATTCTTAAAAGTTTGACTCACTACTAATTTACATAAGTTCAATCCCCTCATCAACGCATATATTTCAAATATATATAATAATTAATGTTCACTTATGAAAAGGATTATATTGATCTTTGCTAATCTAAATTGATCTCACCTAATTGGATCGATCACTAGTTCTATATATTTCATAGAAGTAAGTTACTTCCTTTGTATTGATTATATTTTTGTTGAACCAAATACATTTATGGAGTATAAATTTAAATAGTTAAAGAGGACATCAAAGTGTACAATCTCTAAAAAAACTTTTTTAATATTTGTAAATAATTACGGAGTAAAATAGGAGCTAAGAAAATTGTAGATAATATATTTAATTAATATTTATTGTCTCTAAAGTTCTTCCTATTTAGACATTGATTGTGTCACAAAAAAGTTAAAACAGAATAATAATTTAGGAATGGAAAAAGTATAAAGTAAATGAATAAAAATTGTAGTACCTATTGGTTTGGGGAGAGGCAACATCTCCTTGATAGCAATAGCATCCAAGAGTGGTCCACAAGTAGGATCATCTTGAACATGAGGATTGTAGAAAGTGACCTTAACAATATTAGAAGTTGCTTGAAATGCCCAAGCATAAGTATCACCTCCATCACTACTATACATTGTTTGAATGGGTAGATATGTGGTTTCTTTTGAAGCCGATACCCTTAAAACCTCCTCTTCTATACAAGTCTTTGTCGCGCTAAATGTAAGAGAGTAGAATGATCCTTTTTTAACTTTTAAAAATTGGGATATAGAGGCTTGATTCCCTAACCTTATTGCATGGACGCCACGTGGAACAACAAAGTAGAAGCCACCTGGTTGAGGTCCACCTGATATATATTGCACTAAGCCCTTTTTCACCCATTTGGGAAGGGAGTATTTGCCAACAATTACCTTCTTGTTGAGGTTTGATGGTTTTGGTCCTTCTTCAAAATTTCCATTGGGAAGAAGACCTATTTATTTGAGAAATAAAAAAACTCAAAGATTAGTATCCTAGTGTTTAGATGTTTGATTAGATCAACAAAAATTGATTAACACAAAACTTGAACTTCTATTATTTGGAATAAATATGATTTAATTACATACGATAATGTTGGGAAGAATTTCCTTTTTTTTCTTAAATAATAAGTAATGACCTAGGCTTTTTTCTCTTCATCTCGCTCATTTTTTATGAACTTTAGGCTAAGTTTTTGCTTAATATGACTCATTAATTTCACTTTACTATTTATTCTAGTAATAAAGTTTACTATTTTCATACGAATCATATCTATCTTATTATTAGTGAACTCAATGCAACTATATACAAGATTGTAGATCGTAAATTACTTTACATGAGCTAATGGAGAACTTGAACTTGTAAGGAGGGACATCATCGCATTGTCGAAAAATTATGCTACTCTAAGAAAAAAAATATACACAAATGCGTACATATATACTTTACATATATACTTTAACCAATTAAGCTAATTTATTATAGTACATTAATTATCTGTTTACAATGTTTGAATTTGTGATCGATGTTGACACGACTTCACCATTATAAAAGATCAAGTTTGCATCGAAACAATGACTACATTTGCTATTTATAACTTTATAAGCACTTGTTTAAAATTTACAAAAATATAAATAATAAAATTTGCCAAACTCACCATCGCGAGGGGCGGTGTTAACTGGAGAAGCAAAATAACTGCTGCTGCTTATCAACACAATGAGCATAACAAGGCAAAGATTTTGATAAGAAGCCATCATAATTTTCTTGTTTAAGAGAGAAAGAGGGAGAAGAGATCCCTGAAATGTGCAATTGCAATGAACGATGAAAAATAAACCATATAAATAAGCTGTACTTAATTCATCATCATGATACTAGCATTGATTGTGAAATAATGTCTTGAGAAATATATGCCATGAGAGGTGTTAACTTGTCTCCTTTTTTTTTTTTTTACATCCTAGTAGGTTTTATTATCTTAACTTTTTACTCAACTATATATTCGATTTGTTTTATTTAAAATATGCATTGCATGAAAGCGGATAGGACACAAACACGGAGAGGATAACATTAAAAATGATTGAGATCGAGATCCATTAGATATAATTTTGTTATGTTTACATGTATGTATGTAATTTAGTGCATTTTTGGAAAATGTTACAGTATTTATAAATAGTCAAATGAATGTGCCTTATATATATATTTATAGACGACTAAATAAATGAATAAGTAACTCCTGTAGTATGTTAATAGATCGATATGTGCTGATATTCATAGACAACAGATACAACATACAAGTAATATTGACAAGTAATCAATTAGTATTCAACTAATGTAATGAACCTTTTAAAATTGATTATAAAAGTAGTTTTCAAGTATTATTCAAAGAGTGAAATCAAATTAAACTGGTGTTGGAAAGTGTCTGGTTTGTGTCTACAAATTAAAAGATAAATTAAATCTACAATGTTGGGATATGGCTAACAATGCAACGATGCATGTGAACCATGCATCCATGCATCTTCCAAATTAAAAGTCAACGCCTCAATTTATTTTTTTTAAAAAAGTCAAAACAATCAAATTATGCATTCGTTGAACTTAAACCGACTTAATTTGTATTTTGTAAGGTGTTATTTGCTCACTCGCCTCACTGTATGATCTCATAAACTTGAACTTCAACATTATTTTATACATGATTCCCTGGTACGGTACACTTAGGTTGTAAGTCAAAGGGTGCAACTTTATAACTGGAATAAATCAGATCACTAGAAAATAATTTTTTTTTTTTTCTTTGAGGAAATCACTAGTAAATAAGTTTTTTTTTGACAAACTAGTAAATAAGTTAATTATGAGATAAGTACACTTAAAGTAATTTGTAAGTCAAATGAGTTATTGTCTTAGATTTATAGGCACGTGACCTCATGCAATTGATAGGCTGGACTATGTAAGATGATCATAATCTCTCCTCTCGTTCAACTGCAAGCTGATATAAGGATTAATTAGCAAATCTTTTACAAATTTTATGATGCCTCCATATCTGTATAATTTTCACCTAAACAGAATTTATCTGATCTCCATTTATTGATTATTTAGTAAAATAAAAAAAAAATTACTTTGATCTCTCAGTAAATTTAATGAATTCACGTTTCAAAATCTCCCATTAGGCAAACCGATTCATAGCTAGACACTTGTACTTTAAAAGTGAGAGGAAAGGGTAAATGGATCCCTACCCTCATGCAAAGTGCCCTTATGAGGTTGAAAGGTCATTTCCAAATTGCTACACCAACGCATTTAAAAAAAATCATTAGGAGGACCTTAATCGGCTTAATGTCTAACTTTTGCAGGCCAAATGCTTGGAAGTAGCTTAGGAGGTAAGATAATCCGTCCCCACCTATAATTTATGTACTTTCACTTAGTGAAATTCGAGTTTTAGACCTGTAAGACCTAAGAGAAGTCTCTTCCAAAATGAGTCAAGTCTTACTTGATATGCATGCATATGTCAATGCTGATATTCTTACATATATTACTAAGCTATGGTGGACTTAAAAAATGTTGATAGTAAGTACGTACAAATGTACATTAGTACTCTGTATTGCTTAGTGATAAAAATTGGTTTTTGACTTTTATAAACTAGTACCTCTGTTGAAATTCATTGTAACCCACTTGTGAGTGTCCCATATTAGAGAAAGAGGAGAGGTGGTTCATTCCACTTTATAAGGTAGAGGAGTTACTTCTACTATTGCCAATTGGTTTTAGTGTGGAAGCTCCAAAATCTAGTTTGTGGACCAAATTCTCCTCCTCCTTGTTCGGGTTGCCCAATCCCATTTCATATTGTTTTGAAATTTAACAACCTCTAAAAATTAAAACCAGCAATCAGCACCTGGAAATGGTAGTACAATAATTAATATCAAAGATTTTCATGCATGTTCCTTAATTGAATGTAAACCTTACTTGGTGCCGCAACTTAAGCCACTGGAAAGCCAATTGCGTACACTGACCTGCCAATAATATCATGCGGCATGAAAGCACTTGTTATTGCAATATCTAATTCTTCCTCTTATACTCCGTATCTAGTTTAGTCGTGTTGGGGGCCTTGGGGCACTTGTTTTTCTTTATTTTCTTATTATTGTTATTAGTTCAAGAAAAATACTATATACTCGTATAACCTTAAGGGTTATGTATAATAAGTAGCTAAAAGAATAAAGTATTAATTATATATTCATTAATTACACTATTTATTTGCACTTGATTTTGTCATGCATTTCTAAACTTATACCAAAAAAGGAAAGATATTAAATCTTTATTTATTCGTAACCCTAAGGGCTATGTATATCATTACCCTTAATTCAATTCAAGTATTTTCTTATCCTTTACTTTCTTATTATTGTTATTATATCTTATCTTATTAGTTATTGTTAAATCTATTTATTTAAATAACATGTGTGAGTAGTTTTATAATCTAGGGTTAGGTTTAGGTTGAACCCTAATATAGATTGATGTGTTAATTGATTCCCAATTTAATTAATTTTATAATTCTACTTTGTTAGGATTGGTTTTATTATCAATAAATAACTAGGAATAGTGTTGTTGAATGTGATTAGGTATGCAATGAGAGTTTATTCTTAATTGATTTGGAACCCTATTTAAAAGTATGTAAGAGCCTTTATGCATGAAAATAACTAATTGTTCTTGTTAGGAATTATAGATGTCATTCTCAATGTCTTTAATATATATAATTTCATGAGAATAGGTATGGTTGCTTATTAGGGAAGCCAGTTGTTAAAAAATTAAAAAAAAAAAAAAAAAAAACAAAAAAAAAACTTGGTAGTATTATAGGAATTGAAGCACCCTTCCAGCTTGTAGAATGTTTATTGATTTTATTGAGGGAGGGAGAAGGTAAGATTACATTTTCACTCTAAATTTTTCCAACATATATAGAAAAGATTTAATTTATTAAAGAATGAGGGAAAATGAATCCTTATAATACAGCAAAGTAGCCCAAAAATAGGATATATGGGATGATAATTTTGGATAGTTAGGGAGTAAATTAATTTGTTTTGGGCTGCAGTTGGATAATTAAAACGTGAATTTTATTTAGATTCGGGTCCACATGATATGTGTTAGTATAATTCATGGTAATATAGAAGAATGGTCTCAAGTATATCAGTATATGTTGTGTTGTTCTAGATCATTATCATATAATTCATGGTAATATGATCGTTGCCTTCTCATTGATTATCTTTGGGTATAAATATACAAATTACAAGAGATAATCATGCCTACTAATTAGCTACAAATAGGGGTGAGCACAACCGGGTACCCGGTGAAAAACGAAGGAACTGGTCTTGGAACTGGTTTGTACCGGGTCCTAGATTTTGGAACCAGACCCGGAACCGGTATAACCGGGTCCAGAATATTTAGAACTGGAACTGGTGGTAATCGGTTCTAGAATCGGGTACCCGGTTACATATCCAAAGGAAAAATCAGATTTGATCGATAAACAGAAATTATATTTATTTAAAAAAAAAAATCAAACCTAAAAGTATTATATGAAAATTGCAGAAAATAAAGATGAAAAAAAAGTAGATATGAGCATTTAGAGAATGTACAGTAGCAAACTCGAGTTGTATTACATAATCATGGCTTTTTCATAAATTTATTAGCCTGAAATCACACAAATCATCCCTAAAACTCAGAACAATAGAGTATGTAAGCTTGATTCATCTTTAATCTTCATCTGTTTTCGGCCTCTTCTTCACCACCTTCATCTTTTACCTCTTTCTATTGTACAAAAAAAATTAAGGATGGAAAAAAGTGGATTTAGATACAAGAATTTGGGAAAAAGATAAGAATGGAGTGATTAATTTAAGTTGGGTGAAATAATCATCAAATTGGAGTTTGATGTTTGACGGATGAAAGTAGAAATTATGAGTGGTTTTTGGTGGGTGATGAAATGAAAAAAACATGAGTTAAAAAAAAAAGTACTCCTTAAATATATGGTGACTAATTAGGTTAGAAATAAAGTGTGGGCTAAGAAATTATAAGGCCCAATAGATAATTATGCCCCATATATTCAGAGTAGGCCACGAATAACATATTTTTAAAGCAATGCAACCAGTTCCGGGTATCCGGTGGGTACCGGGTCCGTAAAATCAAGAACTGGAACTGGAACCAGTTATAACCGGTTCCTGATTTTTGGACCCGGACCCAGAACCGGTTGCACCAGTTCCAGTTCTGGACCCGGCGGGTCCTAACCAATTCCGGGTCCAAAACCGAGTACCCAATAATTTTGCTCACCCCTAGCTACAAATTAGGCTATAAACAAGGCTAGGAAATATACACTAACCAAATTAGTTATATACAAAGTCAAACCAGAATATATATCCATATATTCTAACACAAACTATAGTATGTTGTGTTGTTCAAGATCATTATCATATACAAAGTATGAATCCTGTTCTGATGTCAAAAACAATGTTACTCTATACATATAGAATACATCGTTTAACTAGGACGATATCTTTATACAACGAAAAAAATGCATTGGCGTTGAAGATCATTCATGGTATAATAAATACAAACTAGTGCATGATTTTGAAATCGTCTAATAACAACAATTCAAAAACTTCATGTAAACTTTAATTGATTGAATTTGACATACAAAATCATAATAATCACCTTTTTTTTTTTTTTTTTTTTTATATACATATAATGGTTTATTGAAACTGAATTATTTTACATTATAAAGAATGACAGTTTTGCAGTGGCTACAATAAAATGAAATCTACACCCTTGATTATCATTATGTAAATTAGGACCGTTGATTTAAGTTGACCATAAAAATACCTAAATAATTTCTATGATTAAGTATGAATAACAAAATAATCCACTTAATTAACATGAAATCCATCAATTAGCTAGTGCAAGGATGAAAGAAAGAGTTATGGAGAGCAATAATTAAATAATTATGAACTGTATATATCCATGTAGTTCATATAAAACTATCCAATGTACAAAATTGTATTCCTTTTTTCAAGATTAGTTACCAATTTTCAATTAATTGTAATTGGTTATACTTTTAATATAGTCCAATCCATGATAATTGCTCCTTCATAATATACCTATTACGGAGTAAAATGAGATTTAGGCTGAAGGTTGAAAGCTTGGAACTGCATCAATAACAGCGACAAGTAGTTATTTTTTCAGCTCTTTTTTTTTTAATAAATAAATTTGAAATTATTTATAATTTAAAAGTCAAATGTATAAATGGACAAGACT